ACAATTGACTTCTGACAAGTGGAGAAGGCCACTCACACTGATTGAAAGTCATCCTTTCACTGCTGAACTGGCCAAATTTCAATCAGTTTATAGCCAGCATTAGTAGACCTGAATGTGGGGGCACTAGGGGGCATGCAGGACAACCACTGATGCCACGTAGAGATATATAGGCACATAGTGGTGTCTGCTAGAGTGCAGATAGCTTAACTTACTAATGTTAGCTGACAAGTTCACACTGTACTGGTTTGCACACAACTTCAGAACTAAGATCATTCAGCTAAACATTCGGGAGGGTGGGGAGATTTTGATCTACTACTATGCATGACAACTTGAAGTGATGTGACTTCAACATAACTTCTGAGCCAGAAAAAGAAAGGATTTAAATGTATTGGTAAAGGCACAATTTTTTTCAATTAAAATAGTGATAATAATAATAAAAAAAAAAAAAAAAAGTATTACCTTCTCTATGCAATGACATTACACAGAGTTGCCCTGAACCTCCTCTTCTGGGGTCCCCTGCTGGCATTCTTGGCTCCTCCTCTGCTCCATGTGCCTGCCCCTGAGCTGCACGGCTTGCCCCCCTGCTTCCTCCTCACACATTTAATTGCCCATGTTCCTGTGTGAAGAGGAAGAGAGGGGACAGAAGAGATGCAGCCATGCACGGCGCTGGATCAATTGAGGACTAAGTATTTAGAGAGGTGGGGGAGGACAGAAAGCTGTAAAATTTATTTTTTTAGCTTAATACAGGGAATACATTAAGGTAAAAAAAAAAATTTGGCTTTAGAACTACTTTAAAACTGAACTCAAGGAAAATAACAAATACACCATTAGAATACATATATGGGAGTTTCCTACCTTCCAAAGAATTTGTGTTTCTGTCAATCCAATCTGTCAAACCTGACAGACAGCACAGCCAGCCTGCAGACCTGATTTTATTCTGTGACACAGCTAAGTCACCTCACTACTCCCTGCCTGTAATGGAGCAGAAACAGACAGAGGAGGACATTTATCTGATCTCTCCTCCTGTTGGCACATTCCTTGTCTGCAGATGTAAATGCAGGACATCTAACTGGAACAGTTGCCCTTCTTCTTTCAGTCTGAGTGCTCTTGTGCAGAGATTATAAAAGTATGAAACTGACGCATACCTGGTTTTTATACAGGTTACATTCAAATGTCATAACTGCATTCGTTTTTGCAATATCGGTCTGGAGTTAAATGTCAATGATTGGGCATATTTTCAATATATAATATAAATTCATAGGCTGTACAAGCAAATATGGGTCATTTTTATACTCTGGCCTTGAAAAGCAAGATTCTTTATATTAAAGTCAAGGTATTCTTTCTTTGAATTCATCTGCACTGTATAGTGAAGAAAACAGACATGACAGGGAAAGAGAAACACATTATAACTCAGTAGAGAGCTTTTGGTTTGCATGTTAATATAATATTAGTTGCTTATCCACTAAACACAGTCTAATTAGAGCTTCCCACAGGACAGCATTGGGGAACAGCTGCGCTCTTTCAGAGCATCTAGGCATTTATATAGGTCATGTGATTTGGCAAATCACATTCAGTTGGATCTGGAGGCATTTGGGGACATGTCCATTAACTCTTTCTTGAACGGGGGCAGCTTTTGCGGAGTTATTGGCCCCAGTACTTGGCAGGAACAGAATGTGCTATTGATGCTCAGTGCTGTCCTCAGCTGCCTCTTACCTGACACAACTTAGCAGCTGCCTTTGCCTGGAAAAATCATCAACTGTGTAAAAAAATTAAATATCTCTCTGCGTCAAATAAGGGTACCATAAAACAGAAACATTTACATTAAAGGGCAGTGTTTCCTGATTCTGCTACAGTACTGCCTATCTCTGCATTGATTTTAAAAGGGAGCAGAAGTTAATTTTTTGACCGAGTTTGACCGAGTTTCAGGTTACACTCATACTTTAGGGATTAACATGAAGCATGGACACAATCCATAGCCCCCTCACCCCCCAAACTGCCACCCCCCCTTAATGAATACAGGAGCTCTCCTGTCTACAGGTTCCTGTCATTCTTTAATTCTGGTCAGCTTTGGCTCTTATAGCTCTGCCAACACAGCTGTAACATCCAGAGATCTGTGAATGGAGAAACTACAAGACCCATCTGCCAACGCGTGGAGGGACTCCTAGATCTTAATGGAGCAGCGAGGTCAGTGCACTTGGAGTCCATTATGCCATCCTGCCCTGTAACCAAAGGCCCACACCTCAGTATGGACCTGCAGCTGGAGATGTGCATTGTACCTGTGATCCACTGATTAGAGTTACAATGCTTTTCCGGCTTCAATGAAAGCAATTCATAAACTCAAATTTCCTTTTAATCAATATAGGTGAATTTATAAATATTTAGCAAAAGTGGAATATGACTATAAGTACAGTGTCACTTGACTATGTTCAAAGGTTTTAGTAGAACTTCTCTTTATCAAAACCTGTTTATCGACTTGGGTGGTATGTGGCAGGACTAATCCTGAGCCAAATCTTTACAGCATTTTGGCACAGGTAGATCACATAGAGTTCCCATCTCTAGCATAGCTGTGAAAAGCTGCATTTGGATTTTCATCTGAACTCTTGGTGTCAACTGCTGGAGTACATTCTTCATAATATTCAAATGAAGACACAAATTGTAATAAAAAGTAGCTGCCATAGAAGTGTGCCTTCCCTCGCAGAATTAAGCATCTAGTTCACAATAATGCAGACCTCCTCTGCAGCATATACTTGCCTTCCTTTCACTCTCCTGCCACTTCATATGACTGCCAGGAGTAAAGGACAGTCCTGAATCGCTGGAGATGTAGATTGCACAGGGCAGTAATCTACCCATATTATCTTGCCAATTGTCCCATTATATGACGTGGATCATGTGCTCCTCCATACACAGAAGTACCATATATTTTGTTTGTTCCCTATTTCTAAACAGAGTGATAGGGGAGTGAAGGAAAGAAAAGTTTATGCTGGGGAGGGGTGGTGGGTTACCAGGATTCTAAAGGAAATTTATATTTTTTAAATAACTAGCATGTTATACCTATCTGCTCTGTGCAATAGTTTTGCACAGAGCAGCAGCTCCGATCCTCGTTTTCAGGTTTCCCGCAGATGTGCCTGGCTCTATCTCCACACCTCAGTGGTCCCAATAGGAAGCCTCTTGCTATGGGGGCACTTGAGCAGCTCCAATCCTCATTTTTGGGTTTCCCGCAGATGTGCCTGGCTCTTCCCCCCTGCTCAGTGCTCCCAATAGGAAGCCTCTTGCTATGGGGGCACTCGAGCAGGCTCCCTCCCGAACTTTGAATGGACAGTGTCAATTCACGCACAGTGCATGGCTCAACCCTGCCCCCCTGCTCCTTCCTTATTGGCTCAGTGGCTGTTATTCACAGCAGCAAAAAGACAATGGCTCTAGGTGCTATGTGAGCCAATACGGAGAGAGAGAGACCCTGGAGAGCCGCTGCCCTCATGCACATCACTGGATGGTCATGGGGCTCAGGTAAGTTTAAGGAGGGGCCCGGGGGGAGGACTGAACCCAGAAGGTTTTTTACCTTAACCACTTGGTAAACGCGCTATAGCCGAATGACGGCTACAATGCAGTTACCCAGTTCTGGGGGGGCGTCATACGGATACAGCTAATCACGTGATGAGGTAAAGGGCCAATCGCAGCTGCCTTTTACCACGTGATCAGCTGTGTCCAATGACACAGCAGATCACAGAGTAAATACAGTTGCCGGTTAATGGCAGCACTTTCCTCACGCTGTCACAGTGTGAAGAAAGTACTGCTGATAACCGGCAGTTGTCACAGAGGAGATCGACGCTGATCATCAGGGCACTTATGATCAGTGCCCTGCAGTGCAGTCCAGCAGTGCCACCCATCAGTACCGCCCATCAGTGCTGACAGTCAGAGCTGTCAGTCAGGGCCGTCCGTCAATGCCGCCTATCAGTGACCATCATTGCTGCATATCAGTGCAGCATCATCAGTGCCTCCTCATCAATGCCCACCAGTGCCGCCTCATCAGTGCAGCCTATCAGTGCCCATCAGTGCTGCCTATCCAAACCACCTCATCAGTGCCCATCAGTGCGCCTATCCGTACCACCTCATCAGTGACCATCAGTGCTGCCTATCAGTGCAGCCTCATCAACGCACATCAGTGAAGGAGAAAAATTATCTGTTTGCAAAATTTAATAATAGAAACAAAGAAAAACTTTCACATTTTGTGCTCTTTTTTTGTTTATAGTGCAAAAAATAAAATACCCAGTGTCGATTAAATACCAAGAAAGTTCTAAGTGTGTGAAAAAAATGATAAAAATTTCATATGGGTACAATGTTGAATGACTGCGCACTTGTTATTCAAAGTGTGACAGCACTAAAAACTGAAAATTGGCCGGGGCACAGAAGGGGGTAAAAGTGCCCAGAAGGCAAGTGGTTAATACATAAAGGTAAAAAACCTTGAGCCTTTAGCACCACTTTAAATCAAACCTGTTGCTTTGCTCTGATTAGGGATGATGACTGATTGATAATGAGATATCTGCTGCCTTTACTCGAACTGCTAAAACCTATCACAGTCTTCTCCCTGACTATTGAATAAATGTAGCATGGGGAGAGGGGCAGGTCTCTCTCTTTTCTCTAAAGAAAAGGGAGTAGAAAATTGACTATGCAGTGCTCAATTACCCCCCCCCCCCCAAAAAAAAAAAAATCTAAAATGAGAAATATTTCCAGCACTGCAATAAACATATCATTACTCTTACTCTCTTTAGATATGACCTTAATTGGCCCAATCATTGCAAATGATGATGAATTATCTTGCATTGCTTTTTTTTTTATTGTGTTGTGTATGTCCACACTAACGTCTAGTTCAGCAGTACTTAAAGAAGACTGCAAGAAATGTTACAGCACATTACACCATTAAGGATTCTGAAAAAATACTTCAAGAGAACAGGTCTAATAAATGTACTAAAAATGGCAGGAAGGCCAATCACAGCATTGATTACCTCTGGAATATGGTGACTGAGGCAGAAGCGTTTATTGCAGTGTATGCAGAAATCCCCTACTGTTACCACACTGGCTTTACATTTTCCAAATCCACAAGTATTGTCTGCTTTCACTGCCTCAGCTAGCAGAGCATCAAAGCTGTCCATGTCTGAGCTCTCTGGCTCAGGTTTATTTCCGCCTTTACCTGTAAGTGACAAAAAGAAAAACACAAAACTATAGATCAAACATATGCAAAATAAGAGTGAAAGGTTTAGGTCTAGTTTCCTGATAACAGTTGAACATACCTGTGTAAAGCATATTGAAGATGGTATGCTGCTATATTTCTGTATAGTAACTAATGTGCACCAAAAGCACCATACATATACCCCCCACCTATCCTCAATGTTTCATTAAAATCTAGGCATTCCAACAGGTGAGGGAGAGCTGTACAATGAAGGGGGAGGATAGCACTGGGAGGAGAGGGTAATTTGTGTTTCTACACTGGCCTGTGTGTGGCATACGTCTGACCCCTGTGTTGTGTGTTATGTAATCTTGACTCCTGCAACCTACCTTTTGTACTCCTGAACCCTGTACATTGTGCACTCCTGACCCCTGCGCTCAGGTTTTATGTACTGTTGAACCCCCCTCACCTATACACACTCCTGATCCACTGTGTATTATGCCCTCCTGATCCCTGCACTCTGTGTATTAGATACTTTTGATCCACTACTCTGTGTGCACTATGCACCCCTGACCTCTGTGCTCAGTGTCACACACTCCTGACCCCATCACTCTTTGCATTACAGAGATCTACACTATATTGTACGTTACATACTTCTGACCAAAGTATCCATTGTCTCCACTTTTGCTGGTTGCTAAGCAGTCCCTGTTTTAATGAAGTTCTTCTTTAGGGTAGGCTCAAACAAAATGTTAGCTGTATGGGTATTTTCAGTGTGAACGAAAGCATATGTATGTAAAGCATACCTATAATGTACCACCTCCCCCTCACTCCCCCTCTCTGTTGGGGTCCCTCAAGGCTCTGTCCTCGGGCCCCTTCTCTTCTCCATCTATACCTCCTCCCTTGCCAACTCATACACTCTCACGGCTACTACCACCTCTATGCCGACGACACACAAATCTATCTCTCAACCCCCCACCTCACCCCCTTGGTCTCAGCCCGAATCACACACCTACTGAGCGACATATCAGACTGTGTCGCTCCACTTCCTTAAATTGAACCTCTCCAAAACCGAGTTTCTTGTCTCCCCCCCCCAGCCCGGACACCACCCCCCATTGATTTCTCCATGTGCCCCGCAGGCCAGAGTACTGGGTGTCATTCTGGAGCCCCAAGTCCAATCTTTAACAAACTCGTGCAGACTCCACCTCCGCAACATCGCCAAAATCCGCACGTTCCTAACCCCAGAAACCACTAAACAGCTCATCCACTCCCTCATCATATCACGACTCGACTACTGCAACTCCCTCCTCACTGGCCTGCCTCGCCGCTGGCTATCCCCTCTTCAGTCCATCCTGAACACGGCTGCCAGACTCATTCACCTTTCCACCGCTCTGTCCCCCGTCCCCCCTCCCCCCCCCCCCCCCCCCCCCCTCCCCACCGCTCTGTCTCCGCCACCCCCCTCTGCCAATCCCTCCACTGGCTTCCGATTGCGCAACGGATCAAATTCAAAATCCTAACGCTGACGTACAAAGCTGTCCACCATACTGCCCCGAACTACATCTCTGACCTAATTGTCTCCGCTCCTCACAAGACCTCCTTCTCTCTAGTTCCCTGGTTCCTCCTAAGGACTTCTCCAGGGTGTCACCCATCCTGGAACTCCCTGCCCCAACCCATCAGATTATGACCTACTCTCCTCTCCTTTAGGCGCACCCTGAAAACCCATCTCTTCAGGGAAGCCTACCCCACCCCCTGCTAACTTGCCGACCTCCTCCACTCTTCCAACCACTCCAAATCTCCTCCTGTGCCACCACCCCCTCCCTCCTAGATTGTAAGCTCGAAAGAGCAGGGCCCTCGATCCCCTCATGTTTTGCATTGTATTGGTATTGTTCTGTCACATGTTCTGTCTCCCTTTGTAATGTACAGCGCTGAGCGAACTATTGGCGCTTTATAAATGTATAATAATAATAATAATAATAATATGTAAAGAAGCGTTTCATTTCTGCACTGAAGTTTATACAGGACTGTGAGTTTCCCTCTTGTGGCCCAGCAGATAATAGAGAAGCACCTTTCTTAAAATAAATAAAAAAAATACATGCACTTTTTTGCAGGTTAAAAAAAATGTACATTTATTTTTTTTTTTGTGAGCATGTAAGGCATTACACACACACAGATCACAGGTGCAATGCAGGGCTCCTGCAGACTTTGCATGGGAAGGCAGATACACAATACACAGGAAGATTAAATGAACTAGAGTGCTCACTAGCACCCTCATTGAGAACTGCAAGCTGTCAGCCACAAAGGTTGTCGGTAGTTGTAGTTAATTTACACACAGAGCTCTGTGAATGATGTGGCCATTTGTGTGCACGACCGTGTTCTTTTCAAATTAAGACAGTGACTGAAGGGATAAAATCCCCGATGCACTGTCACAATTAGCAGGGGGACCAGGGGAGGCTTAAGGAGTGGGAACATGTTACAAGTTCCACCCTAAAAACAGGTGGAGCAGGTAACATGTTCCCAATGGTGAACTTATCCATTAAAGAATAGTTCATGGGTACAAAGAAGCTTGGATTCTAATTAACCATGCAACTTTGGGCCCCTCTCACTGTTAACACAATGTGATCACACCCCTTGTTCACCGCAGCGTGCTACAACCACCTCACTATTACTCTCCTCAGGTGCTCCAGGTATTTTGTGATCCTGTCAATACTGATGTTGAGGGGCAGGGGCACCTTACAGAAGAACAGCAGGGAAAAGTTGGCCAAATCTAGCGGCACTGCCGCGCCGGCTCCTGTTATACCTGCTGCTTACATACCTTTCTGTCGCTCCAAAATTTTATGAGTAAGCCTGCCTTGCCTTTCTTGTGCCAAAAAATATAAATATTTCACAGCTGTGTCTCAGATGATTTTTATTTTTGGAAAAAACTGACTTGTCTCTCCCAATTTTGGCCTGTTTTATTTGATGTTCCGCTGCTGGCAAATTTCTACTTAACCAAAGTTAAGGACTACAGCTTTAATGTTTTTAAAATAATTGGGGATATAGTGAAAAGGGGGTTGTGGGGAAATAATTAAAAGTAGACCTGAACTGCAAAAGTGAAGATTTGCCATTTTATAGAGAACATCTAGAAGTAGAAGGATCATCTCAAATTTTCACTTAAAATCTTCCTTAACAGTAGTGCTGCATGCACTACCTGTGCCTTAAGGTTCCCAGCTGTAGATATACAGTGAAAGGTCACCTAAAGAATCCTTACCCTTTGACTACTAGTCTCAAAGATATGGCATTTGATTTCCTGAAGTCAATACTACCCTGCTCACTTTACTGCATGCTGGAGAGCTGTACCGTAGGACCTACAGGTGCTAGGATTTCCCTGCTTCTACCTATTTTTTTTTTCTAGAGGTCTATCCTATTTTTCACATCTCCTGTTGTTTTTTGAATATTTCCCCTGGGGTCATCAGCTCACCAGTAAGTAATAATTGGAAAAAAAAAAAAAGAGCTGAAGGAATCTTTTAGACAATATTGGGTTTTTATCCTTTCTGGCCTTTATTTGGCCACAGTTCTGTTAACCTGCACCTTTTATAATATGCTGCACTGTGTACTGTCTGTATTTTAGACATAATGAATAATAGCTGTCATATTTTTTTTCAGTTTCAACGACAAAGTGGTAAGCCTTTCACCCATTGGCAAGTGAACAAAACTACAGCAAGCCCTGTTAGGTGCTCAAACATTACATCATTTTCATGTTTTAGAAACCCAATGAAACCAAACCACAGATCTAAAAGGAAAAAAAAAAGTAAACCCACGTTTCACATCGGAGGTCTTCCTTTCAGCAACTTTTGGCACTGCAGCTTCCTTCTTTGTTTTTTCAAGTTTATCTTTCTCTCTCTGCATTCGCTCCACATGTAAGCGCTTCAAATCAAGGTTATTGGGAGTAGCTTTGTAGCCAATTTCTTTTTCCTTTGTTTCTTTTTCTGATGTCTGTGACTGAAAAGGTTTCTGTGCAACAGAATCATCTATTTTCTGTGATACAGCATCGGCTGAAATGACTTTGTGCTTGGAAAGCGTAATACATCTATTTCTGCCGTCTCCCGTGCTTACATGTTGTAGTCCATTTTTCTCCGCTATCTGGTGAACCAGTAATCGGTCATGCGATGTGAGTGTTGAAGGGAACATTAACTGGGTTTTATCATGGTCTGCTATAAAGTCCTCAATCTCTTCCTGTAGTTTTTCCTTGGCTGAACTTTCTGTTTGGTCACCTAAGTGCTTAGATTGCGGGAAGTACCTAACAGAGTTAGCTTGCTTTGTTTCGCTCTTCTCCTTTGCCTGAGACTCCGTTGTAGTGCTGGGCTTACGGCTGCTCAAGGTCGAATTTCCTGATTTCTTTGACTTTGTTTTGCTGTCTTTCTTAGCAGTGGTTTCTGGTTTACAACCTTCATTCTCATGAAAATATTTCTCGGGGATGATGTCATCAAGATACTCAAAAGCAGTTCGGACCTCCCCATGCTCGTTAAAGTAAGTCATGAGGTCTTTGAGAAATTTGTTGTTGCTGATTGTATGGGAATCACAAATAACAGCAACATGGCGACGAGCACGGGTTACTGCTACGTTGATTCTTCGCTCTTCAGCCAAAAAGCCCAACTCACCTATGTATGACAGCAAAAAATATTTAGAAAATAATGAAATAGATGAGCACATTTTTATTAAACTTAATGTGGTCAACTGTTTAAGGCTGTACTCCAGGCAAATACCTGAATACACAGCAAGAATACATATATTTGGGATGTTTTATCTGCCAAAAAATTTGTATTTCTGTCCATCTAGTCCTATGATTTTTACAGCTCTGTCAGACACCACTACTGACTACCTACTGCAGTGAAGCAACAAAATTCGGTTACCGGTCTTCCCAAAACATGTGACTGGATAGTGAAGAAACAGTAGTTGATTAATGGGCTCCTGTATCTCCCCCTCCTATCTGCATGTTCTTTGACAGAAGGTGCATGCAGTAGAACGTGACTGACTCCAAGCATTGTCCCTCCCTCTTCCATTCTGAATTTTATTGTACAGGAGGAGGTTGACATCAAGATAACTAAGTACTTCAGCTTCATGGAAAGATTCAAATTCTCCTATATTGTGTATACCAGCCTTTTTCACCGGGGTGCCCCGGCATGCTGGGGTGCCTTCAGCTCCAGAATATGGCAGCTCTAGAATACATGGATCGTATAGAACTGACAGTGACATTAGCGACTCTTTATGCACTTAAATGATAAGTTCACCTTTGGACAAAAATAATAAGCTCTCATTTTTCAAACTGTATTAAAAAGCTATATAATGTGCAGATGTTTTAGTTGTATATGTGACAAGATGCACATCTATTTTCTATTCTCCCCTTGTATGTTGATTGTACTATTGGATTGATGTGACACCAATGTTTTTCCTGAAAAGTTGTGTTATATCACCTGTAATCGATGACTATATCTCAATAAAAAGTTTATTGGAAAAAAAATAAAAATAAATGCACATTTTTTTTGCAGGTAAAAAGAAAATGTGCATTATTTTTGTCCAAAGAAGCCTGTAAAGCATTGCACCAGCGATCAGTAGATCGCTGATGCCATGCAGCTCTCCTGCAGACCTGTCAGAATTGTTGTACAGTCAAGCAGATATTCTGACAAGAACCTTCAATGAACTACCACGGTGCTCCACAGTGCCGTGGTAGTTCATTGAAAACTACAAGCCAACAGCCGCTAAGGCTGTCGGGACTTGTAGGCACTCATTCACAGAACTCTGAGAATGAGTGATGTGGCCGTGTAGGTGGCTCCCTGCACGGACGTGAGGTTTTCAAATATGACAGCTAGCATGGGAAGAAGAGGGAGGGTGCGGGCAGCGGGAGCTGCTGTGGATATGGGTACATATTACATGTTCCGCCCTAAAAATGGGTGGACCATGTAACATGCTCCAAAAGGTGAATATATCCTTTAAATTAAAGTAGTGTTATAGGCAAAACTTTTTTTTTCATTTTGGATAGAGAAAGGGAGGGTTATAACCTCTGTCAGTTTATTTTTTCCATCTGTGTTCCATTGGGGAGATTTACAGCCACTTCCTCTCCCATAGCCAAAACAGGAAATGAGAGAAAATCCCTGCAAAATTAGGAAAATTCCTTCGGACCCCCAGGTCTCCAGAACTAGTGTCCCCATTGGAAAATTTACCCTATATTACTTTTCTGGGGACAACCCAAAATTTGGGGTTTATTTTACTTTCTCTTTCGATGATAATGGTAAACAGGACAAATAGACAAAAATAGTTCATAAAGTCCTTTCACAATAAAATCAAACATGTGCAGGCCTCCTCCTCATTAGGTGACTGGAATCAAACAGAAAAAATGCGCACTCACCGACCGCACATTTTATATGCGCCTGTGTGTGATTTTATCCAGAGGACCAGCCAGGCATGCGGCTCCAGGAAGCACATGGATCATCCCTCTTAAACACTGACATCAGCCTTGGGTGTAGTAATACCTCCAGGTCCAGAGAGCCCTCTTGCCCCAAATGATAGGTAGACAGGGGTCCCTCTCCTGGGTCCAGGTACCCCAAAAGTGGTCGGCGTAGATCTGAAGCCCTCCAATAGGAGAGTCAAAGAAAAGAGGGAACGCCAATAGTGTAGTAGGTTCAAAACTTTATTAGATCAACAATAATAAAGCCAGGGTCACATGTGCATACAGATGCCTTCGGCCATTAAGCGGGCTGGTAAGTATGAAAAAAGTAAACCATGTACTAACCCAGCAGAAGTAAAGATCAGAGACCACTGGACCTCCTCATGGTCTCAGTGGTCAGGAAGTCACACTTGCTACTGGCTCCTGAGGCCTTTCGTGCTACGGCACTTCATCAGAGGGCGTCCACTGTGATCTTTACTTCTGCCGGGTTAGTACACGGTTTACTTTTTTCATACTTACCAGCCCGCTTAATGGCCGAAGGTATCTATATGCACATGTGACCCTGGCTTTATTATTGTTGATCTAATAAAGTTTTTTTAACCTACTACACTATTGGCGTTCCCTCTTTTCTTTGACTCTCCTGTTGGAGGGCTTCAGATCTACACCGACCACTTTTGGGGTACCTGGAACCAGGAGAGGGACCCCTGTCTACCTATCATTTGGGGCAAGAGGGCTCTCTGGACCTGGAGGTATTACTACACCCAAGGCTGATGTCAGTGTTTAAGAGGGATGATCCATGTGCTTCCTGGAGCTGCATGCCTGGCTGGTCATCTGGATAAAATCACACACAGGCGCATATAAAATGTGCGGTCGGTGAGTGCGCATTTTTTCTGTTTGATTCCAGTCACCTAATGAGGAGGAGGCCTGCACATGTTTGATTTTATTGTGAATGGACTTTATGAACTATTTTTATCTTTTTTAATTACATTACAGCACTGCACTATATATTTAATGTTTCTGTTATGAGGTCCAGTGATTCCTTGGAGTGTTTCAGCAGCTGGTTTCTTTGAGCGCTCGCTATATTCTTAATTAATTTAAAAGGACAAATAGACAGGGTGAATCTCCCTAAGGGGGGCACAGACTGCGATAAAAATGGACAGGGGATATGTAACGATCGTGGTGTCAGACCCCTTGCCCTTCTCACCAAACTCGTGACCGAAGGACTAGCGAATCTAAAACCGCGATGCCACGTGCGTAACAATGCCACGCCCAGCTGCACCCTGCACAATGATTTTCCAGCTAATGGACCACAATCGATGTACCGGCAGCCTGAGCGCAATTGTTACTGGGTCAGGTTAATTACGCAATTAACCCTTCACACTGCCACCACCTCCTTTTTGTACAGAGAAAGAGGAAACTCGGCAATATCAGCAATAACACTAGGATGGTTGAAATAATCGTCTGTATACCACTGTCACCGCAGACAGGTTATACAGAGGGTTAAACACACATAGTAGCGCTATTCAGCAGCAGGAATTCGTAAGTTGCATTAGGGAGCTTTAGAAACAGCTCAACACTTTCAGAAAGAAAGATTTATTACTAAAAGGTCAAAAGGGTGCAATAAAAATATTTACAGAAACAAGATGTAACCAATATATATATAAATATACAGAGAGCAATAACACAGCAAAAAAGTAACAGAAAGAAGTTTAGAGAAGTAGAATACTTGCCAAAAGTCCTGGGTTAAGCAGATCAAGTTACAGAGCAAAAAGGGCACCGTCTCCCAAGTTGGTTCTGATGTTAAAAAGGGAGATTTCTTCAACTTCTCTCTTAGGCCTGACAGCCTATTTTGTAGTCCCCCATCAGGGGGTGTCTCTGAAGCCAAGGACCAATGCCCTCATTTGTGGTGGGGGTGTCTAGGCGCAGACCCAAGCTAGAACCAAAATCTCTCATAGCTTAATTTTTGCTCATAACTTTTCCTAGGCACAAGTAACATACCACCCGCAGGTAGATTAATATGCAGACGCCTCTGTGGAACGGTTAGATATGAAACATGAATAAATACTTGAATGGTTCAAGAGATGTAATTCTCTGCTTTCCTATATATTCCAGCCAAGCAGCGGGACATATCAAATTGTTTGTCTTCTTCTGACCAATCTGAAGATATGCCTGGTTTTTATGCAAGTCTCTCATATTCCAAGATATGAGACATAGGGGGAAAATTGGATTTTAAAAGTGGTATCTGTTTATTACTCCTCTGGAATGTCTTTGAACTCAGGGGAAGGCTTGGGTTATCCTTTTACGAGGTGCCAGATTGCACAGTTTCTTAGACAGTCCGGCACTCAGCTCAGAGAGGTTTTATAGCTCGGAGCTCCCTGTTGTGCTCTGGCCTGCCTGTGACACTTCCAACACACACCGACCACATGTCACTGTGGATCTCAGAGAGGGAGAGGGATAAGGATGAGGAAAGATATATATTTGTACAAGATGGATGATCCTTTGCCAAGATAGAGGTTGGAGCAAAATGGTTGAACCGTGTCCATCTCTGTGGGTACGATTGCTACAAGGGGTTCTAATCCATCTCCACTCTAATCAAAACTAAAAAAAAAAGTTTTGCCTTTAGTTATACTTTAAATCAACTCACAAAGAAATTTAATTTCTTGCAGTTTTTGTTGGTAGGAGTCAACTCGCAAAAATGATCAGATGGGTTTTGGATGCTAAACATATCGCTAGTGTTAAAGTGTATGTAAAGTGAAAGGGTTAAAACTGATATTAAGTTACGTTTTGCTGTGTGTGTCCCACATGGAAGATTTCCCCTTACTTCCTGTTCAGGAGGCACATGAGGAAATGAGAGAAAATCTCTCCAAAGTGAATGGAATTCCCATCTTTGATTAGTTGTCATTGGAATAGATGTCTCCACCGGAGGATTTCTCCCTTATATCTTGCTCTGATGACAACTCAGAATTTTGGACTTCCTCTCTCTTTCTGCCTTTGTGACAATGGTCACCAGGAAAAATAGAGAGATGAATCGCCCCGTGGGGACACTGATTATTATTATTATTATTATACAGTATTTATAAAGCGCCAATAGTTCGCTCAGCGCTGTACATTACAAAGGGAGACAGAACATGTGACAGAACAATACCAATACAATGCGATACATGAGGGGATCGAGGGCCCTGCTCTTTCGAGCTTACAATCTAGGAGATAACCATA